AAAACTGTGGTAGGTAGGACTTTATTGATCCCACAATGGAGAAATTCCTGTGTTCCAGCAGCAACAAAACACCATAAGAACAAACACCACACACGTATCTTGAGAAACAAATTCCAAAGTACCTAAAACCAGACAGAATATAGTATTTGAGAGACACTCAAGAACAAGAATGCTTCCTCCAACAATGAACACTGAGAACAAATCAAAATACCTAAGAACAAAACAAAATACAGTATTCAAGAAATCAAGGACAAGAATATTACTTCCATAATTAATTCTGCAATGGGATGTTCATAAAGAAGTTACCTTCTTCACAGGTAGTGCTACGTAGGGCTGGGCCTGGTCAGTACCTGCATGGGAGACTACCTGGGAACACCAAGGCTGGAGCTCCCTCTGCTAATAAATCAAGGTCCCTAATCATCTGCTCTGTTTCATTGGTATCTACTGCCGTATCCTGATATTAAACCTTTTAAAGTATTGGTCTGTCTCAGGCATCTGTATTTGGGTCCTCTCAGCCACCTTCCTGACAGGCAAGTCTGAAGCCTGGATATTTTTCAAAAGGCCTATGAGGATGATCCCTATAGGAAGTTTTTATGAAGACATTACTGTTTTATAAGAAGCACTTTCTGACTATTGAGCTAGAAAGGTGCCACAGAATCATAAAATGTCTGAAGGAGTGCCCCGCGCACACCAAAGGACCTCAGTCTCCTCAACAAGTGGAGGCAGCTCTGGCCCTTCCTGTACAGGGCATCAGTGTTTTCAGTCCAATCCATTTTGTTGTTGAGGTGGACACCCAGGTATTTACAGGTGTCCACAGTCTCAGTATCTGAGCCCTGAAAGCTCACCAGCGTGAGTGCTGGTGATTTCCGCCGGAGGTCAATCACCATCTCATTTGTCTTGCTGGTGTTCAGGACCAGTCGATTTTCCTCACACCACTTCACAAAGTCAGTAACAACCCCCCTGTATCCCCTCCCCAATACACATCCAACAATAGCAGTGTCATCTGAGAACTTTTGTAGATGTAGATGACAGTGGTGGGAGTTGTACTTGAAGTCCGACATGTAGAGGGTGAACAGAAAGGGGAAAGCACCGTCCCCTGGGGTGCCCCTGTGCTGCAGACTACCACATCCGACACACAGTCACGCAGCCTGACAAACTGATGTTGGTCCACACCTGCCCCATCAACTTCTCCCTCAGCAGTGACGGCTGGATTGTGTTGAAAGCACTGGAGAAGTCAAAAAACATGACCCTCACAATACTTCCGGGGGACTCCAGGTGAGATAGGGCTCGATGCAGCATGTAGATAATAGCGTCATCTACCCCTAATTCTCTTTAATTTCCAGCAGAAAGTAGCTGTGTTGGCTGCAGGCTGTCTGACTGCATCTCTCTGCGGTCTCCGTCCGTATCAATGTGCTCTACTGTGGTCACATTCAGCCAGCCTCACACAACATATAACCACAACTCCTGTTCCCATGTTCCCCCTCCTCTGGCACTAGCATGAAGTTCCAAATCAGCCCACTCTGCTCCGCCCAGCGTTCCCTGTCCCTGCTCCACTATGCTCTACTTTGATCTGCTACGCTACATCAATCCCAGCTGACATTGTCCAGCCTGAATAGGTCGCCAGTCTATCACAGGGCTGACACTTAAAGACAAACAACCACACACACTCGCATTCACCTCTACAGGCAATTTAGAGTCGCCAGTCAACCTAAATTGCATGTGTTTGGACTCCGGGAGGAAGCTGGAGCACCCGGAGAGAATCCATGCAGGCACAGGGAGAACATGCAAGCTTCACACAGAAAGGCTCCAGGTCAGCCGGGTTTAAACCCAGAACCTTCTTGCTGTGAGGTGACAGCACTAACCATTGCACTGCTGCACTAATCTATCATTTCTTATTAATGTATCTAAAATAGGAGTTTCCCTTAGCTCTACAGAGCATCTTTTATCTGGTTTTTATGGCCTGGAACGTAACTGCCTTGGCTCACTCTAATCACAGCTACTGTAAACAAAAAACTGTACACTACCTTCCCAGCATCAAAAGGCCAACGGAGCTAAAAGACAATGAATATTAGACTCACATTCAGTGGTTGTCCGGAAACACAACTCCAAATACAATGGTGCTCTGTGTCTGCTGGATGTGTAACTAGACAACTGTAGGTTCAGAATATCGACTTTAAAAAACTGACCATATGTCAATCAAATAAATTGATTCATGTTTAAAGAGGAACTTAACATCAGGCTGAAAAGCAATGTTATAAATCCCTTTATGGTTGAACGCTTCAAGGTTTGTTAGGTTAGACTGTATGGCCAAGAGCTCTGTCGTGGAGACACAACCTAGAGTACAGGTCTACATCACCCTGAGGGTTTAAGGCAGTGTTACACAGGGCAGTTGTTGGGCAACTTGGATGGGCAGCAACCAACTGGCTCA